TTTGATTTTTTTTTTTTACTATTTAATTATATTTTTCCCAGCGGTAGATAAGTTCATATTCTTTCTCGTTTTTTTTTTTTTTTTTTTTTAGAGAAGTAGAGGTGTATCCCTTGTTTCCTGTTTATAGATTTGGTTTCCGGTTTCTTCTAAAGTCTACGTCAACGTTATACTACTATAGTCTTCGCTTAAATTATGAAATTTATATCATTATTATTATTGGCTCTCTGGTTCATTCTGAAGTCTTTTCCTTCTCTTTCAGTATCCCTTTGCATCTTCGTGGCGTTATTTACTTGCTCGGGGGTGAAGTAATTAAATATATATAAGTGTGTGTGTGTGTGTGTGTGTGTGTGTGTGTGTGTGTGTTTATCTATATAATGTAAGTTTAATTGTATTTATTTTATTTATAAGCGGAAATTAATGGGCTACATTAAAAAGGTCACGAACGTTTGCTTGTGTGCGTGCGAAAGAAAATGATTATATCTATTCAGAAAATGATCTTTAGAAGTTAATTTTGTCGGTACGGACCCCACACACACACACACACATACATACGCGCACATACACCCTCTCTTTCTTTCACTCACACTCACTCACTTCCATAAACCCGGTCTGCTGGCTTCGGGGAGATCAGGAGCGAAACACCAAAAATGTTAGATGTGAATATATGTATCAAAAGATATCAAGGGCCCAGACAGATACATAGCTAATGTCAGTCTGTCTATATAACTAACTCGAGAAATATGACATATGATAGACATTTATGGAGAAACATATGAGCAGATTGGAGGCCGATATGAAAAGGTCAAGTAAATACGCTAATCACTGAGAAATCTGGATTAATAGATAAATTCAGATTGATAAGAATGAACATGCCAGTTAAGACGGATTGAAATGAAAGCAGACATGCAGAAACGCCCTGATAATCACTTTCTTCCAGAAAACTCACGAGTTTGTAAGCATACAAGACCTAACGGCCCATCAAGTAACTAATATCTTCGTCGTTATTAGCAATAAATGTAGAGAATATTTATACTTTCGTCTTAGAAACAGATTGTAAACGCAGTGAATAGTGAGAAATTTAAGACGCAATTTCCATGTCTCTGTAGAATAACAATACAATAAACAACACTTACCGGCGTAAGAGTCCCAGCTAGCGTCCAGCTGGCAGACAAAAATAAAGCAGGTTGTAACTTAATACAAACCCTGCAAACTAACTGAGAAATCAAGCTGGTATTTATATAGAAATACTTCCACTCAGGTACCAGCAGCCAATCACAGCCCAAGCAATGGACTATCCCACTTTAGCATAATGAGATGCTCCATTGCACCATAAATAGCTCACTTTCTCAATGTTGAATTAGTATTCACTCAGCTTGCTCCACAACTGAGTGTTTATCTTGACCACGTGATTGTTCGACAGTCTCGATACGAAAAATTAGAGGTTCGTATTATATAAGAAAACTAAATACTCATTTTTCTTTCCAGTCACGTGCATTGTCACATACAGGACAGTATGACCGAAAGTAAGTTATGTTAATAGTAATAGTAGCCATTTCCTTATAAGTAAACATTTGGCATTTATTGACCGAGCAGCAAGTACTAATGTCGGATGAAATTTATAAAATCTTTGTCATAAAACATTTTATCGTGAATATAGGTTTCTCATGTCTAGTAGCTGTTATCGCTCTTTACAGTAATAATGAGGATTTCCATCCAAACCTTTTATTTGAAGTTGTGTGGAATTTTTTTTTCATTATTTTCTTTCTTGGAGTTACATGTGATGTCTGTCTTAGATGATCGAAGTCCTCAACTGATGTTGTTTCAGTTATTTGGTACAGTTCTTTGATTGTAGCGCCAGTTCACAAGGCTCGAAGAAGTGCGAACATCGCCATTTTTGAGCATCGATCTTAGCGGTTGTATACAACTGACAGTTTACATATTTCTGAACGGTTTTGTCAACATTTTTGACATCTATACGAAAGTCTCTGTCTGACGAGTCTATTTCAGAACGTGACTTGAGTTTTCAAGATTATATGTTGGTTTGCACTAATTGACGTTGTTGGGCGAAACTACCCCTAGCACAGTCTCTTATAGATTCAATTTCTTTATCATTTATACTAAATTGGTTCTAATTGATCCATACAATGAGGTATTTGAAGTCTTTACTATTTACTAAATGTACATCCTGATTTTTTTATGATGGATTCAGGGTATTTATCATCATTGATCTCATTCCAATTCCAGATAATAGTTTCTGTTTTGGAAAGGTTTATCTTATCTTGAGGCCTATTTCTTAGAACACTGTCATATAGAAATAAAGTGTAGCTGCCGACACTTGGGTTTGAACACAGATCGCCAGAGAGCAAGCACTGTCGACCTCATCTTCAAATAATTAGATCACGTGACGGGTAAAGAAATATATATATATATATATATATATATATATATATATATATATATATATATATATATATATATATATATAAAAGGCAGGATATGTGTGTGGGGTAACGAATGCACGGCCGCAATTTTCGACGGATTTGCACCAAAATTTACATGCACATGCTCCAAGTTAGCTGGAAGGCCAAAACCGACTTTGCATTTCCTAACTCCCATCGATAGTGGAAATAATCGAGTTTTTCATGCTTCTACGGCAGTTTTCTTGTAGTTTGCGGCCATTTTGTACTGGCCAGAGTGAGAGCCAATAGCTGGCTGCAACGAATAGGCAGGAAGATTCCATTGGCCAGCGTAAGAGCCAACAGCTGAACGACACGAGCAATTGGCTCATTCGCTTGTTTAAACTCAACGTTGATTCTGATTCCGCAGAACTGGGTTGGGTGTGAAAAAGAAATACTTTTTCACACCCAACAATATTCTTTTTTCATTCGGTTTTTCCAGTTACGAGTCCTTTTTTAAAGCTGATCGTTTTGTGTTCATTTTGTTTAGTTCTTTTTTCGTAACAGATTTAATGTTTAGTATCGATCTTAGAAAAAAATTCGCAGTGTGAGATAGGCAAGAATTAAGGCATCTAGCAACATCAGCACAGCAAAGGGCACTCCTTTAAAGGCAAGGAAGTGCAAAAATATTTTAAGTCAAGTGATAGTGATTGCTGTATGAGTGGTACGATTTTTGAATCAAGCACGGGCAACGCCGCGCCATGCTGCTAGTATATATATATATAGGAATTAGCGGCGTCTGACCGAGCATTGTTCGAACGCGTAACTCTTGTTGTATCTGTGATTTACAAAGTCTCTCCAGAAACGGCCATTTGTAGAGGATGTTGATTTTATGTCGAAGGTCATTCTTGTCCAAACTATGAGTATCCAAGTCATCGGCATACCCCGCCTCATCATCAGTACACTGGCCTCGAGAGGATCGTTGTATTCTATTGGCAGATTCGTTTGGAATGTGTTATGGGATATATTAATAATCATCAGTGTCCATCTCTTAACATATGTGTTTGTTAATGTACAGGGTATTGTTTACGAAATTATTAAATAGACTGTGACATATTTCCCCCTTATATAAGCGACGAGGTTTTAAATGCCTCTATATTGGGGTCCTTACCAGACGTGTCAGAGTTCTAGAAGGACACTAAGGATACCATGGAACGAGCGGGTGAGCAACGTTGAGGTTTTGGAAAGGAGAAAGCTTAACATCAGGAAAAAGGCAGCTGAAATTTCTGGGACACGTAATGAGAAAGGAAGGCTTGGAGAATCTGATACTCACAGGTCGAATAGAGGGAAAAGGCGGACAAGGTATAGAAAGCGGGCTTAAGCAAGTGGATGACAGAACATGGTCCGGGTGAAGTAGCAAAGGGACAAAACTTATTGAGAGCTACAAGGGATAGGAGGGAGTCGAGGGCCATGATCACCTACGTCCTGAAGGGACACAGCACATAAAAATGAGGAATTTTTCTCTATTAAATTGATGCAGTCAGTCAATTCGGAGGGCGCGTTTTCTAATAGATGAGAAGAGTAAGTTTTTATCGATGGGTGCTGGTGCTGATGCAAAAGCGATATGGTAAAAACAAATTAATATATGATAGGATTTTAAAACACAAACAAGAAGCTACATTTTTTAAAAAAATATTCCCATTGATATTACTCTGTTTCACTATTCGTGTCTAACGTCAACGCCACGACAGTTTAATCTGTTGTCAGCGTAAAAGATATCATATTTGATGTCGTCATTGTCACTTGTGTTGTCTCAAAGAAGTAGTAGCCGTCAGAAATTTATTCCCATGAGTCGTTATTCAAGCGTTTATTGCATTCTAATTATTTCAAACTTAACGATTCACTGTGAAATATTGTAAAGCCCTGATCAGGAGATTATGGAGAATCTATCTTATCCCGTAGATATCTAACCGCCGATTTTCACTTATTAAAACACTTTGAGTCTTCCATAGGAAATAGTTTCTTATAAGGAAGATCAAGTCGCTGAAGTATTCGGACAGATTAAAAGATGAAGAGTTTATCATAATGGGATAAAACGTAGAAAAAAAAAACGGAAATATTATGATTAAATAAAAGGGATTTTTTTCTCGTTTTCCTTCCCTACCTTCTGTAGGCGCTTTGCTACAACGACCTAATACTAGTAACGTTCATTTGTTTTACATCGCTACAAAGAAATATCACCTGAAACGTGTGTTTGGGTTTAGGTCTTTGTTTCTCAGTCTGAATTTATTTTCACCTCAAGCTTTTTGAATTTTTATGTGAACCTGTCCGAACGTTTGCCCTAAATACTGTGTAAGCAATTTGTTTTTTGTTACGTCCTAACAACCTTTTGCAGGTTATTTAAAGACAGAAAATATTTTTCGATCATAAGAATTTTTTGGTTAATGATATGGTTGATACAAGTTACGTCCTAATTAACATATAGCTGGAGGGGGAAGTGTTGAATTCATGCCCTCGTGTATAAAACGAACCCGACTGGAATTAGAAATCTGAGAGCAGATTTCTAATTCCATGCCGTTATTCATTACACCACCGGTACAAACTCACCCGCTATTCCCAACCGGTCAGCCATTTCCGTATTGACCAGGCTCAACGTTGCTTAACTTCGCTGACCGTATGAGAGCAGGTGTTTCAGCAGGGTATGGCTGTGAGCTAATACTGTGTAGATTGTGCATTTCAAAACCAAATATAATAGAAGAATTATTCTTTTCGATTATACGATCCGGTTAAAAGATTGAACAGCCTTTAAATTGAAGACAAATTTAACAGGAGAATATTTGTAAACGTTAGTGCGTATTAAATCTTGAGATAAAAAATAGGCACGAAATACAAACTCACACACAACCAACAATATATATATATATATATATATATATATATATATATATATGCGAATTTTAGATTGTCAATGTGTCAGATTTTTTCACTTAAACAGCCATAACTCTCAATAGTTCATCTTCTATATAACATTGAATCAATATCTACATATACCGCAAGTGTTCTCTGTGTCGCAGCAGAAGGTTTTTCTCGTCTGAGTTCATCCTTTAAATCTACCATTCGCTTTGCATTGAATCCTTTTAGCCATATATTATCTGCTGCTCCCGCTGTTCATCTGGAGGTTCTCAACAAAATCCAAAAACGGATATGCAATATGATAGGCATCTCGATTCCAGACACATTATCACAGACATGATGTGGCTTTCCTCTGTCTTTTCTACAAATATTTTCATGGCAACTTCTGTGGCGATCTATTTTCGCTGTTGCCCCAACTTCATGTATTTAAACGTGCTACTAGGTTGACATCTCGTTCCCACCCTTTTACTGTCGAAACAGTTAAATGTAACCTCTTTTTCTACTCTAAAAGTTTCTTCTCTCACACTCCCTGGCAGTGGAACTAACCTTCCTCTTCCCTGATAAATATAATCTTCAAAAATTTAAATGTAATGTCAATCGACATCTTCTGATGCCTTGATCTTAATCCCCGCCCTTCTCTTTATCCTTTCCTCAAACAGCCCTCTTTACTCAAACTTTCACTATGTGTAACCCCTTGCCTGCTAATGGCACACCTGCCTTGCTTCCAGCTGAAATGTTTTTAAAAAGATGCGTATTTCAATGTACCGCTATGTCACACATTTTCAACATGGTCGCAGCCCAACTTATCACACCCTTTTAGGAATCAGGTCGACTTCGTGAGCAAATTAAAAACATTCCGGCCTGAAAATTCCTGAAATTTTGGATTCCCAAGTTTTCATGACAGCGATTGTTTCTGGCGATTTTTCACGTGATTTTCTATAGTTTGTGTCCTATCTCATCTACTATTTCCTGAATATTTTGATGAAGGTCAATCAAGAGCCTTCCACAGGAGCTAGCTTTAAATATATATATATATATATATATATATATATATATATATATATATATATATATGATGCACGGTGGGTGTAATGGATAGCCTTAGATGGTAACTGGTCTAGGAGAATGACAACTCTGAATTCAAAACCTGTGGAGGGTCGTTTGGGGACCTTGTGGCACGTAATGCACCAGGTCTCTGTAATCGGCCCTTCAAAAAGTGTGGATGGTCCTGCACGAAACCTTCACCACTGTAATCAATTCTCATGTGCTGTTGTCAGGCTGTCGGTTTCCAGGGAACTGATCTGCTTGACCCCCAGACGTCGAATTCGACGGGAGAGACGAGTATATATATATATATATATATATATATATATTATGCATTTCACCCAAAGCAAGTTAATAAAGTTACTAAGACGCAAGGTGTTATTGAGCGTGAGATAATATTAGGAAAAGAAAACGTTATTAATGAGGTAGGGGCGAGAGAGAGAGAATGAAAGAGCGGAAATTAAAAGAGATAACGATTGACATTGCATTTAAATTTGTGAAGATCAAAGTTGAATGGGAAGCGTGAAGCCGGAAACGAGTTCCACAAGCGAGAAGTGCGAGAGAAGAAACTGTTAATTGTAAGATGATGGGACCTTACTGCCAATCTAGTAGTACGTTTATATTCTCAAACTCTAGGCAGTAGAAATGAAAACTCACCAAAACAACTACCATGAAAGTATTTATAAAAAATGCACAAGGCGGTGAGAAAGTGGCTGAAGCCGAGATGCCAGGTCAGGACCAAGAAAATTGCAGATTCTTCTTTGCATTTTAACAAGAATCTCTTAACATCATCATCATCATCATCATCTTGCGGCCTCAGCCGAGATTGAACTCACCAATACTTTGATTGGTGTAGTTCATAATCTTGTCAAGTAGCTCAATTCTTGATGCTTCGCTAGGGCTATCAAGAGTGTTTTTTATCGTGACACCATCACTAAATAGATTACCAACCAAGGTTCAGAGAGACTGCATTCACCCTCATCTAAGAGCAGGTTTAAGCTTACGGTTAAATCACGCTGAAACACCGGTTCTCGTTCGATCACCGAAGTTAAGCATCGTAGAGCCAGGTCAGTCCTTAGATGGGGGACCGCTTGGGAACACCTGGTACTGTAAGCCCCCCAAAGTCCAACCCTCCTACCTCACAGTCGGTGAGGGGTGTAAACAGTAGTGTCAGAGCTATGCCGCCCGGAACTTCGTTCCTGGTCGGGCCACCAAGGCGGACAGGTCTGACACACACGCCGGCTAACAAGGGCTCTGGTGAAAATCCAAGGAGCGTCTGCATCGGTAACCGGCAGCTTCTGGTCGTTCCTGTCTCTGCGTCTGTGGGAACCCCGCGGCAAGCAAGAACGTTATCCGAGTAGGCCTGGTTACCCTACTTCTGTAATTTATCCCAAGAATCTTCTTCTCATAACAGGAAGAAGCCGGTTCAATCCGCCCAGGGTGAATGCCGCATCAGTACAGTAGTACAGTACAGTAGTACAGTACAGTAAGAGCAGGTTTGAATTCAGAGTTTTCCTTTTCCTAGATCAGCTGCCATCCAAGACTATAGAACCCAGTCTGTCCTACTATTTTACCCATAGCTGGAGGGAGAAGAGGATTCACACCTTCCCCAAGGGTGTTAGCACGTAAGTGAATGTAATGGATTCCTCAATCCAAGCCGCTATCCATTACTCCGCCGTGCCTCCTTAACATATAGCAGAAGCACCAGAGATGTTATGGAAAATAATTTAATCGGCGACACGTTTATTTTGTTCTCCATTATTTAACTTAGGAATAGAATATAAATTGGAACATGCCCGCCGGCGTTTGGCAGTTCGAAATTGCAATTGAACTTACACATAACGGTAGCTTGAAGTGTTCTTTTGCTGAATGGAAATTTTTCAGCATTTACTGCCAATATAGATGTGACAACACATAACAATTGAGAATTTTTTCTTCTTTGCGAAATTTTATTTTTGGATTCTTTTATACCTTGAAAGGGGATTCGGCAACTCGATTTAGATTACGGGCTGGTCTGTTGCGATTATCTTCGCAGAAACGCTCTTGAGGGGAGTCAGGAATCTCGTTCTTCTCCCTACCCCCAGCTAAATGGGGTGAATAGGATAAATAGCAAGGTAGAATTATCTCTCTAGCCTTTCCTGGCAATCAGTCAAAGAAAAGGAATTCTCTTAATTTAAAATCGTATAGAAAACGGAAAAACTCTCTTTACGAAGAATGCCTGGCATTCAAAAGATAATAAAGAAAAAGTGAGGCGAGATATGATCACCTACGTCCTGAAGGGATCTTGCATTAAAAAAAAATCTTGCCTAGTTTCTGAAATGCATCTTTTGACATTGCTATGTCCGCTTTGATTTCAGAGTGAGACTTTCTGTCGTCTATTTCGACACTGCCCGGGTAATTGAATTTCTGTAACTCCTTGATTTGAAGTCACTGATACGTAACTCATTCCTCGGGCTGTAACCATTGCTCCTAATTAGACTTTCTGACTATGTTGATTCTTTTCTTCCTGATTTTATCAATGTTTCTTTTTTTTTTGTTCGAGAATGAAAATACCACATCGAATGAAAGCTATGTACAATTTGTGCAGTAACATTGTGATAAAAATGGCCAGTTTTTCTGATAGATAGATTACAGCTTTTTGTTTATATATATATATATATATATATATATATATATATATATATATATGTGTGTGTGTGTGTGTACATATATACACACGCACGTATATATGTATATATATATATAAATATATATATATGTACACACACACACACATATATATATATATATATATATATATATATATATATATATATATATATATAATCTTCATCTGTTGTGCAGTTTGGCAGAGTTAGATAAATAAGAGGTCTTATTATTTGTTCTGATAGAATAAGAAATTACCCGAACACATATGGCAACATCAGTTTTTTTTTTTTTTTTTTTTTTTTTCCGTTCTGGGTACGCCGTTGGCAAAGAGCAGAATTTTTGTTAGCTCGCAAAATAAGAAAACAATAAAGGTACGCGCATGATCCTCCCCCACCCCGCCACACACACACACACACACTTGGTCAGCAATCCCATTTTTATGCATATTTCGTTGAATGTAACAGAAAAAGAAATATATTGTAAGTTTCTGTTCATTTTGTTTTCGTCCTTAGATATTTTATTTTTCTCAAGTTAAAGTGTGTGTATAGGAATTGTCTACGGTGTTTATTGTTTTGATCGCTTTCGTTTAATACGTCATTTATTTTCAAAGGCGACTGGGTAATTTGCGTGGTATCAGAGATTGCTGGTATATTAAATTTACAAAATATTCCTTGTCCGTCATAATCAACAAAACATTCATTTCTTCGTATATACACTTATATAAATATATATATATATACATCCGCACGAGTGATATCTTTTTTCGACTTAACTCACGGTCTTCTGAACAAACGGCAAAATTGCTATTACCTCGGAACTGAGGATTGTATAGAAGCAGGCAGATTGAGAAGACAGTAAAGAAGAGCAAATGAATGGTTTATTGTTTTGGGTAGAAGACTAATTTAGTTGTATTTTCTGTCGGTGTTTTGAATGGGTAATCAGCTCCAGTTTATAGCAAATTCCCAACTAAGGCATTTCAAGACAGACAAAGCCTCAGTGTATTAGACAATATTTTTAGTCTTCTTTCCCTCACTGTATGTGTAAGTCTACAATAGCAAATCTATTTATCTATACCAATCTCTCGGACTCATTACAGTTTTTTT